TTTTATTGAAGATATCTATAACGTGGCAATACTCTTCTCATTTCTTGGATTAATTAAAGATGGTGACATTAATTTCGTGAATAATTGACTAGAAAGTTATCAATAAATTATAAAAAGGACTTTACGAATCTTTATTTACTGTTTTATCTTTCTCCTTGTACGAATTCATTACTGACTTAGAAGACCAAATGTTTTCAGAAACAAACTGACGAAAAGTACTTCTAATGCAAGCAATTTTTATGACATAAGTTTGCGGTTAATTAAACTCAACCATCATTCATCAGAAAATAAAGACTAAATTTAATAACGAAGTCCACATATGAAATTTTCTTTCTCTGCATGTAACAATCAAACGTAAGTGAAATAAAATGCAGAAAGAAATTATGATTAAGTTACATAAATTCGAAAAGAAATTTAAAAAAAAAGAATTAAGCTTCATTTTTATTCAACTTTCATTTGATCTTTAGTTAAAAACTCAATGTTTTCGGGACGTAGAGTTTCATATATAATCGATAGTGACATTAGAAATATTACAAAATATTTTTTTATAATCTTTAAAATAGAGGTTTGCTGTTTTTATATTATAAAGTAACATAATACTGTCTCAAAAGTTTCGAAACCCGATATCACTTGGATCCATTCCCAGCCAACTCTATAATGGCCTTGAGGCTTAAACGTCACGTGAGCCGGATGGTCGATGTGTTCTTGTGGTAGTGTGTAGTTGAGAACCCGTGGTCATGCACGTTTTGGATATATAAAAAATTTTGGTAATAGTGTTATGTAAGTGGATTATTTTGCTATTCTAAGTGATTTTAAATAGATTGATCTTTACGCAATAGTAAATAATAGTTTTATCTACATTTCGTTTTATATCTTTTTAATATTTAGATTTATTTGGGAGATTTGTAGCTGTTCTCAAGCCTATTCACGTATTTCCTTTTAACATCGAATGCATTTACACTAGTTTGAATATCTTGCATAGTATTGTTTTGAATATTTGTTTGATATAGTATATTAGAAATTCTTTATTTTGATTATTTCTTTCTAATAGCATAATTGAATACAGAATGTCTCGACACTCGACTCTCGTGTATTCCATTGCAAATCCAATTACGACAAAAATGAGCATGGCACTACTTATTCTTTACCTAAATCACCTAAAACATGGTGGAAAATTGTAAACTGTAAACGTAATCAGTGCTGGTTTGTGTTTCAGGTTATGCTTCCATGAAATAATTAAGGGTGGTAAAATGCAATATTTGCCGAGGTCTGGTTGGAAAGTATTAATTCAGTGGATATAGCAGATGATATTTTTGATTTTCTTAAAGAATTAGATGGGGGAAATTAACTTTATCATCTGAAGTGGCTTTATTAGCATCTTCAACTGTGCATTTCTTATTTGGTGTAATTCTTAAAAACATGGAGAATACATTTCTTATATCAGGGAAGCAACTGGATATTTTATATAAGTTATTTTGAATACAGTTTGGTCGAATTAACTTTAATGTAACATATTCTTGCACTTGTGAAATGCCTTTATAAACTTAGAAAATATTGGTTTGATAAATTGTAAAATAATATTAAATAATTATGCAAAATATAAAATGACAAAATTAATATAAAATGTTAAACATTTACCAGTTAATTTCAGTTAATAAGTCACAATTGCTTATTTTTATTTATGCTTTGTTTCTGCATAGATTACGTATAATATACAGCATGTGTAGATACGGTACAGCTCCAAGTTTTATGAATCTATTTTTAATAGTGGAATGGGCCTGTAATTTGGGTAAACCACTTTAAAAAAATGAGCCTAAACATTTACCTCTTGATTTGGAAAAAGTGATACAACATAAAATTGAAGCTGGTACAAATAGAAAGCTGTACATTTTATGAATGTAATTAGCATTTAATTCTTTGAAATTTTCTTGAAAGATTTTGTAGGATAATATGCATGTAAGTTTATCTTTATACTCAAATTTTCTATCATTTAAGGAATTTTTAATTCATATCCCTGTTCTGACTAAAATTGAGCTATCCAGTTTTTATTAGTGAATGGAGTGAAGAGTGGTGGTGGTAGTTGAGTTAATGGCGCATGACCAGAAAGGTTATATGCGCCGAATGGAGTGAAGAAAGATGACTGTGGATATTTGCCTTCTGAAAATTTATGTAGCTGATGCGATGTTAGCAGCATGGAGTTTTGCAAAAACATTCTGCCTTTAATTTTTATTTTACTATTAAGAAAATCTAAATAAGATTTATATACATAAATCTTGAATCCCCCCTTATGGGGGATTTATATTATTTTGGGAATAAATTTTATTCAGACTACATAAATGGATTCCATTTTTATTAAATTTACAGAAATAAAGTTTTCATGTTATGATTCTCAATGATATGTTTAGTTACATAAAAAGTACAATTCTTTTACTTATTGAAGATATACGTTTTTACCGCCTGTGAAAATATTGCACTATGAAAAACTTAATGTAAATCATGCGACCTATTCAAATTTATTAATCCCGTTTGGTACTTGTATATTATCCCGCCGACCGTGAACGTTGGCTACCATTGAACCAGAGCAGAGTTCTGAAGAACTGATACCTCTTTATTTAAAAGCATCAAAATTCGACTATCTTCATTTCTGGGCTTCGTAAAAAAGCTTTCGTCGATTTCTACTATTTTGTTAAGTAAAGGTAGACAAAAGATGGCTTACTGAGAATCAGTCGAGGTTACATCAAACGAAAGCACACATGTTATGAGTGTGCTGTTACGTTACGATTATCCATAATTAACGCTAAATCGCGCTATTTGGCATGAGTTAGGCTTTTGACGGAAAAATATATAACTACCTTTTAGTTAAGTTTATTTTAAGAGAAAACTATTATTTTAGAGAAAGTTAAACTTCGCGATTATAGTGAAGAGAGAGATCGTCTATTTCGATTACGTAACTTCCGGAAACTGATTTCCCTTCAAGGCCATGATTCAGTCGGCTGCGGATCCATTGCAATTTTATTCAACCAAGAGTACTTTCCCACCTTTTCATAAAAACAGTATTTTACAGATAGTAGAATACAACTGTATAATGAATGCAATTTTTTTATGATATTTATCATAAGAAAATATCTTATTTTTCTAAACTCTGAAAAATCACCCAAATGAACAAAACAGAGAAAGAAAACATTTTTGCAAAGGCTTGTATTTACTGTTTAAAGACTAGTAGAGTTTGCTCAGAGTCATAATAATAGCAATCACGCATGCAATTTCATGGCTTTCTACTATTCTCTTTTTGAATTATTTACGCGTATCTTCATTACCTGCAAGCAGCACAAATACACGCGAAAGTTTACTAAAATTATTTCAGAAAGAATTAGAGAAGAATTTCCGTTCAGAATTAAAAATTTTTCATTACTTCTACACTTCTATTTCCATAGCTAAAGAACGCAATGGTAAAATAAAAAAAAACTCAATTTACAGGTAATATATAATTAAGGAATCACTGCAATAATTAATACTTTTGAAAAATAAAATTCCTTAGTGGTATAGTTCATGTTTGGTTCAGTTTGCTTATCTGTTAACATAACTAGAGTATAAATGGTAGTTACGTATTAATGCAACCACCTTGGCGCAGTGTGGCAATTTTTTGGCAAAAGGAAAAGAACGATGCCTTATAATTTCAAAATATTATTTACTTTTTACTCTATACATGTGTATTTTACTAAAGTATTTATCTGAAAATTAATCAATAAACTTGCAAGCGGATTTTTTTTAATCTGTCAGAAATTTCGTGACAGTTGCTTTATGAAGAGATTAATATTTATTGTTTTCTTTAGTGATCTGACAATAAAATATTGTATTAATGTAGAAGTTTTTATCGCAGTTTCTTCCACTGCAAAGAAATTTCGGAAAGAAATATTTTCAAATTATATGTTTAAGAAAAAAAATGTAACAATTGTCTACAAAACCTATTACAATGAAACTGGAAAAAAAAAATGCACAGAACGATCAAAGGAAGTGTTGCTTTGAAAATAAAAGGCTTGATCTTTACATTATGGTAACTTGGCGATTTTTTGGCGAAAATTTGGCGACCAACTCTCCTACAGCAACCCTCTATTTTTTTTTCCCCGCCGCCATTTTGTCTTCACGAAGTAAAGACATGTTTCTTTTCTTTTTATCTACTGACACTTCTTCCAACAATCTACTAGCCGAATTACACTTATGCTAGAAATTTTATCTAACAAAACTGCTTAATCATGACAAATATTCACTGCAAAATTGGGAAAAAGTGCACAATACCATACTCCTTACGCGTTTTTTCAAAATAACACATACACATAAACCATGTACAGTACACGTCGACTTATTTTACTTAAAAAAAAAAAAAAACATCCCAGAATTACACAAAAATGGCATTGCGCACACTCTTCACTATATCCATGTACACTGCTTTTTTCTCATAAATTCGAAAAAATTTCACGAAAATACATGACAATTTTCTGAATCTTTAAACCCGGTAAAAAAACATATATGAAATTACCTGATCGCGAAAAAGTATATACCCTTTCCAAATATGAACATTTCCACATATAAAATAAATAAAATATCCCAAAAACTTTTACCTCTAAATCATCTATTATATTATAAACGTCACCAACGAATTCATACCGCAAGCATTACAAATACTTAGTGTCAAATATTTAAATTATTTCCATGCACGTTTACTTCAACTAAAACGTATACCAAATTCCTACAACATAAAATTCACAAAATAACTATCATTTAATTAAAATATAATTAAATTCAAAAACACTACTACTTAAAATATAATAAGCACATACATTAAATTAATAAAATTAGCCTTACAATCCTAATTACTTTAAACTAAATAAATCATTGCTAATAACAATTTTCCCAATAATACCAAATTACTTTACTTCCACCTTACATTTAGAACAATGCATAAAAATAATATCCTCAAATAATTAAAAATACTAACTTACCTAATCTTGATTACGTGTCCGATAGACTTTTCTTATTTCTGTTTCAGGATTTTTAAAATTATACTTATAGCTCACAGCAAGGTACCAGGTAAAATAAATAACTTAATAAAACATCTTAACTTCTATCTCGCACAACCTTAAAGAAACACTTATTACTACCCCTTTCAATCTCCCTAAATACCCATTTCGAATTCACTTTAGTTAGGGCCATGGGATCCAAAAATTAACGAACACTGTTTCACACAACACAGAATAAAGCCAAATACAAAATTTCCAGATTTTTCCCGATTAAAGAACCGTAATTCGTCCATTAATATCACATGACATATCCCATGATCTCTCATTTCCCTCACACAAAATAATGCGTAATCGGAACTGAGTACTGCTCACATTATTACCAAAGTCCTAGGTAGTAACCTTTATCGCCTCCAAAATGTCGCCAAACTACCAGTTACCATATTCTAAAGATCAGCCAATAAAAGAATTGTTACGAGCGTGCTGGAGTTGACCCATTCTGAAAATTTGGCAATTCTTACTAAGGTGGTTGCGCTAATACGTAAATACCCTATAAATTAGCTAACAAAATCCATTTTCAAACTTCTTCATAAATATCAGACCATTCTTTATTATGTGACGTCATATTTGAACTGACTTTTGTAAATCATAACATCATATATGCCTTCGCAACTCTTTTTTAAATGCTTTTCTTATTATTTAAAAAGCTAGATTCTACGTTTGTGACAAGTTACACGAGTTAAATATCGATAAAAAATAAGGAATGATAATTGCATAAGGTAAAATCTTAGTATACGGTGCAGCCTTGGCGAGATTTTGAAAATTATCGCCAACACCAAAAATGATCCAAAGAACGTCTATATATATATACTATACACTGTATACTATGTGTGTATATACATAGTATATACACTATATATATAGTATATACTATGTATAACCATATATATTCTTTGAATGACCTGTTTACTACTCATCGTATATGTCGCGTTTTTACTGCTCATCATAAAGTCGCCAAAAGTAGCCAAATTCCGTGTGCACCGGATACTAGGATTAAACCATTGCATAATATTTTAGATGAGTTCCTCGTATCTATGAATAACTACAGTTTAAATATCTTTCGCCTCTGCTCTGCTTTAATTGTCTGTTTTACGTTCTAGCAGCAATATTTTCGCTGTATCTCATACTTTTAATAGAAATCTTTGTAAAATATATTTAAGTCAGATCTAAGCGTCATCATAATACAAGTAAACCATAAAGTAAGTGTCTAATATGAAAGAGTTCTGCAGATTAAAGTAGATAACTTAATACTGTGTATTAATTATTATGAAGCTATAATATATCTATATATATACATATTAGAATTAGGTAAAATATATTAAATATATATAAAAAATGCCAAATTATGCAATAGAAAGGCACACATTTTAAAAAACGAAAAGAAAAATAATTAAAGGAATCTTCCTCTTGAAATAAGAATAAAAATAATCAAATCAGAATATATTTATATAAAGTTTAAGGAGAATTTTAAAGAAAATTTAAAGAAATTTTAAAAAAGCATTCTTAAAGATATAACGTGTCCCCACGTGACTTAAAGAAAATATGTCCTTAATATTAACAAAAAGAATTTAAATACAAAGTAAAGAACTGGATTAAACCCAATAAATGAAATTTTTTAAGCAAGGGGAAGAAATTTAAGCAAATTTTAAAACTTAAGATTTGTAAATTATTTAATTAATAATATTTAAATTAGTCATTAGCAATCTCAATTTCTTAGCGGTGTTTTATTCTTGAGCCAACGAACTGCCAACTGTTTGTTTTATCACTTGAGAAATCTTATATTTATTTATATTTGATGTTTTTGAGACATTCTTCTACTAGATAGGTTTGTGACTAATAAATCCACATGCACAAGCATGGCTTAGTACCAGAATTCCTGACCGAGGCCAAGCAAGTGCTTAGCCATTTGAAAACGTTCGTCTCTTTCTCATTAAAGAAGCAGGTATTCCGTTTCTTTTTAAACAATTTACTTCCAATAGTTCTAATCTATCTCAAGAATAAAATTCTAATAAATCTGTTCATGGATTTACATTCACACGAGCACACCGATCAGATTAGTTGTGTGGAACGCCAACAGCCTCCTCAGAAGACATTTTGAACTGCAAAACATTTTCATCGACCATGATATCCGAAATGATTTTCCGACATGACTTTGATATCCGAAACTCATGCACAGGCTTGTCACAAACTGAGCATTCCTAATTATCTTCATTATCGCTGCGAACGCAGCAGCCACCACGGTGGTGGAGTAATAATTTATGTAAAAAGAAATTTTCATTCTTGTTTACTATCAAAGTGCACGGATTGAAAATCTGAAACACTCACTGCATGAATCTCTCTGCCTACTTATAAGGACATCTCTTTCTCAGCGTTTTACAATCCTTCTCCAAACCGATTTTTGCACACATTTCGCAGGGAAGTCCGACATTTGCAGCAGGCGATTTTAAATCAAAACACACTGCCTGGAACTGCAGACGTGCAAATGCTAACGGAAACTTTCTATATGAGTCATATATTAAATAACCCATTGGCTCTGCATACATCCACTGAATACACATACATTCCAGATAAACTTGAACATTCGGATATTGTACTTTCGACTACCACCACATTCCGGTAGCTCTGGGAGTTGTAAATGAAATGACTTCGGACCACCTCTCTATCATTGCTATGCTCAGCATCTCCAAACCTCAGTTTACAAATCACAGGAATATCACTGACTGGCTCTTGTTTGAAAATATAATGAAAAATCGCATTTTGAATTTTCATGAGTTATAGATTGTCGGAGGTATCGAAACTGTGGTTTCCTCCCTCACAAGCTGTATTCAAACTGCCATCACTGATGCTATAATCTCATCTGATAAACTTTACAGACTTCCTAAACATATTCGTGGTTTGATGCGCTATCGTAATAAGCTACACAAGACCTATCATCTCAATTAGACCTATCATAAGCAATTAAGCACTTCTTAAGAACATTGTGTGTAAACGTGTTAATATCACAAATGCTTGTTTAATAAACTCCCAGTTTCCGAATCAGTGGAAGGAAGCCAAGATTATAATGATACCTAAACCAGGCAAAATTCATTCTGACCCTGATGGGTACAGACAGATCAGTCTTTTCCCTGGACTCTGAGCAGTTTTGCTTCCGTGAGCACCTTTCCACAACCAAACAACTCCTCAGACTTGTTGAGTTTGCAGGTGCTGCTCTCCATATGACATAAAATATTGCTATCCTCATGCTAGACGTGGCGAAAGCTTGCAACCACGTCTGGCATGAAGGACGTATCGCCAAACTCATTGACGTAGAAATGGAGCGAGAGTTAATCATGCTCATCTTTTAATTCATCATAAACAGAATTTTTAAGGATTTTGTTACTAATACCTTTTCTTTACTTAAGCCTATGCTTAATGAGATCCCACAGGGTCAGTTGCTATCCCTGTAATCTACCTCTTTTACGCTGCGGGTTTCCCTAAGTTTCAAAATAACTGGAACAATTCTAGCTTGTTACGCAGATGATTGGCAGTAAAATCAGCTAACATTAACCAAGCTGTGAAATATCTCAAAGACTTCATGCCAAAAATTGAACAATGGGGCAGTTATTAGAAAATCTCAATCAATGCACAGAAGTCCCAGCTGCTCCTCATCAGAAGACGCAACCGCAATCACTAACTCAAGAAGAAGAATTTGTGTTTATTTAAATAACTTATTCCTGTGGATTCCCATGCAAAATATCTTGGCGTTATTCTTAACATCCGATTGAATTGTAAACATCATATGGATCACGTTCGTGATAAATCCGCTACTATTATAAGATGCCTGCTGCCTATTGTAGGCAAGTACTCAAAGCTTGATCTTAGCTAAAAGCATCTCTTCTATCTTTCAATAGTCAGACCAGTTATGACCTACACATCCCCTGCCTGGGCTGCAACCTCAGATAACGACATACAAAACCCACAAATAGTAACAAATCAATTTCTTAGAATCATTACGAATGCTCACTATTTTGTGAGAAATAATCTTCATGCTCAAGATTGAACCCATGAAAAGGTTTTTAGGAAAACTAATAGAAACGTGATGGTTTTATGTATCATTTCAGAGTTTTCCAGTCTGACATTCTTAATGAAGAAGATATTTACGACCTTTGGCAGCCTTCCTGCTAAATGAAAATAAAGATTTTCCAATCTAATTTTATGGTTTTATTTAATATTTCAACATATAATTTTAGAATTCACGAGTCACTTTATTTAGATGTTTATTTTGCAACTCTCCATCTGCCTGAAAGATGTCCTCATGGACCCACCGTTCAAGCATTCATTTCACCTCAAGCGCTCTAGAAGCAACATACCTCATAATAGCCGCAAAACAACTTGTTCACTGCAAGCTAATCGCGGCGCCCAGCGTTACCCGTAGTTATTCCTCTACTGTTCAGTAGCTAGAAACATTGTTTAATATGTCTTTCAGACAAAAACAGATTTGAGTTACTGCTGATTAAAAATTATGAGGTATGACTGAGAATGTGAATTAGACTAATTTAAAAGTAAAATTAAAGTTGATTATTGTATTTTTATTTTTCATAAAAAATCGCAATTATTACATTTTAATGTTAGCTAAATAAATAGCCTTCGGATTATGAGAAAACACAAAATTTAATTTTAAAAGTTTCAATTTTAGTTTTTCAAGAAGTTAATATTTGAATTACAGATTTTCCCTTGCAGAAAATGTTTTCTAGATTCTGTTTCAAGAATTCAGATATAACTTGTCATAACATGCGCCATCATGTCATCATGCATTTCCCTTGATGGCATGCTTCAATAGTAGCGCTATTGTAACTGAATCAGCCAAAGCGCTTCCCTTACTCTTCAATTTACGTCAGCCATAGAAGTGGGAAGAAAATTCTGAATTATACACCCAAAAGTGACGAATTTTGAGTGACATTGAAGAT